GGTGATGGTCAATTTTCTATGCTAAGTTTCTGGAACTGTTTTGAATAGTTTATTGGTTCTATATAAAGATTGTTCCGTCACATTTACAATTCAACTATTAATAATTGATCCTGTCATAACAATATTAAATTAAAATTTATTTCAGAAGTATCTTAAATGTAGATTGTGATTAAAAATATCGCAAAATAAAATCAGGCCAAAGTTTTTTTTTTCAATTCATAATTCGTAACTCTCGGCAGTTCTTTAGAGATTGAATTTTGCTTGCAATCTTGAAAATAAATTTTTCTTTCTTTCAGTAAATTTTACTTGGATCAAGAACCTTTCTGCTAGATAAGATAACGAAATTTCTAAAAATAATCCTTGTTCAAGATTTTTTTTAAAACCAAGTTAATTTTTTCATCAATAAGTATGCAATTAGAAGTCGATGGAAAAATTAAAATCTTCTCAACATATTTTGAACTGCTAAGCGCTAATATATCAAACTTAAAAAGAAAGTGATGCATTTTTTTTTAAACAATCATTTTTTTTAATTTTGGAAATCAATTAAACAATTTATTTTCTAAGAAAATAAATTATTTTAAAACAAAAATAATTAACAACTTTTTTTTTTTCTCTATTTATATGTCATCTCTTCCTCCTTCCATCTTATTGGTGACGATCTATAGCGGTGAATCGTCATTAATGAGTGATGAATTGAGTGAGTAAGTGGATGAATGGCTGTTATTGTTATGTAGACAATGCCGGTGGTTTTAAATGCGGTCTGTAAGGAGAACAACTAGACACCAAGTGTGTGCGATAGTGTTATAATTAATAACTTTAAATTGATTAAGGTGTCAGATAAGTCTATAGAAGCTTTCCTCCGAGCTCCAGAGCTCCTCAATCTCCATCCTCTTTAGCTTTGTCTTTTATTAATACCCCTGACGCCAAATCTCTTTGTCTTTATCCATTTCTCTTTTGGTATAACACTGAAATATGATTAATAATTTTGAGATAACGCCGCCCGACTTTCGACCGGACCCCAAAACCCTACACCTAACCCAACTACGGACATTTTACTCTCTAACCCCTTCACCCGGAAAGGTCATTATTATTTTATAGCGGCTTTATGATCATGTAAATGACTAATTACTGTCGTTAACTATTTTATTTCGTTCATTTGGTTGAAGGATAAAATGCAGAAGGGATTTAAATCCGAATTAACAGAATTCGAAATTAATACACTGACAGAATAATTCATTAACTGTTAATAAATTTATTCATTTTGAAATAAATTATTCATTTATCAACATTTAATAAATATTTAAACACAGTTAACAAATATTTATAAAATGGTTAATTGATCGTATTTTATGAATGATTTATCAACTATTAATAAATATTTATTAAATCATCTTATGTTAACAATAATTTAATGACCGTTAATGAAGCTTATTAAATATTAACATATTCTTCTATCAGTTCACTAAAAAAAAGTTTGAAAAATCCAAATGTGCATGCCTTGAGCGCTCATGTTTTACATAAAATTAAATATTTGTTTACTAGCTGTTACTCGCCCGCTCCGCTGGGCGCTTTATAGAATTGCATTTTTAGATCTAGACTTTAAATTTGATTAGAGTATTGTTTTGACTTGCACAAATTCCAAATTCTGTCGAATTGGCATGCTTCCTTTATCCATGTAATTATTCTAGCTAATATTTTATTGTAACTTTCAATGTGCAATCATTATAACATTCCAGTGTCTTTCTTAAAAAAATGAATAATAATTGATATGAAAAAAAAAAAATTTGTAATGAGCATTGAAAGTTTCAGTTAAAGAAATTGCAGGTCTCATAAGTGAAGAAATCAGCCTAATAGATAAACATAACGAATAGAATTAAAAAATTTATTTTAAACAAATGTCAATCGAATAGAATAAATTTAGTTACAATAAAAATTCATTATTTCTAAGTCAAAAAAATATAGGTTCTGGATAAGTAATCACCAACATATCATATTCTAAAACCTTCTCTGAAACACGTTGCATCTTATGGTACAAGTATTATTCCGATCGGTTCAGTAGTTTTCGCAGTATAACCGGACGAAAAAACTGTCTCTCCATTTGTTAGTATAGATTTATTTTTTATTTCCCGCGTACAGTAATTGTTTATGATACGAATAAAACGCCCTCACGTGTTCCGTTATATCAACTATTTAAAAGTCGATACGCATACATACGTTGTTTCGGTCGCCGAGCCATTGTGAGAACTCTTTTTACTAAAAAAACAAACATATGGCCGACCAAAATGGGAAAATTCGGTGTGAATGCCAATCAAAATCTTTTAATTACAACTAAACGAAGCAATATCAAGCTTTGATATTGAATAGGGTTCTTCATTAAAGTTTATTGACGGCTGAAAAAAAAATTGAGTCCTAAAATTGTATATATCTTTAGTTATCTTGACCACACCACCATATTTTGACAATTATTTCCACTATAAGTTTTGAAAAACGGATTTTTTCACTAAAATTGATAATTAATTTACTAAGCAGTGTTTTTAATTAGTTAAGTAATCATTTTTCTTGCCACAAGTGTATTTTTTTTAAACATTTTTCCGCAGATTATTGATTAAAAATACAATTTGTCTTGACGACATAGAAAATTTGATTTTTAGGCCCCAGTAGAGCTATGTTTTCGCGCGATCGCGCTTAAGGCATGCAAAAATAATGATAAATAATTTTTAGTGATTGTAGTTTGTTTGGTGGTGCTTTTAGAATAACTATATTTGATATGAAAACTATTAAAGTAAAAGTTGTAATTGAGAAGGCGATGTGGAATATAAGCATTTAGACAAACTCATTTTCTTCTTCTGAGGGTGGTAAATTCGATGTATCATTTGCTCGTGGATCGTTAGGCGGTTTCAATTAGTTTTCCGTGCTCCCTTCTTTACCTTAGCCCCTAATCGCGGGTGAGCTGAGTTTTCTTTTTCATCTTTATCTCCCAGTCTCGCTCCTTTCCCTCCATCTTTTTTTTTTTTTTTTTTGACGCACAATTAGGAAAAAGGTCGTTAATACGAGACGGATAACGCTTATTTCCTTTATTAAGGTAGCTTTCGTTTCAATTCTTTCTTATATTCACGGATGTATATTTTTATCCAACTGAAATTGTTTTTTTCAATCAAAATTATTTTTGCTGAACAAAAATCAATCTTTAAATAGATAAATGATTGAAGATACGTCCATTTGAATTCATAAAGGATTGCAAATTTTTCATGTTTAATATATTTAAAAAAAATTGCAGAAATAATTATATTTCCATAATTTTATACCACATAATACACACCATAATACTTTATTTGTATTATTTTAATATTTAAATAATAAAAAATCATATTTAAAGTTCAGAGATACAGGACGCGCCATCTAATGTAAACTGTTCAACTATTTACTCAGACTTCTCCATGGTAATTTAGTGAATGCTCAAACCTATTAGAATCTTTTTTAACAACTTCCAATAAGTTTTTTTTTTTAATTTCTTTTTAGACGTTGAAAATGTTCTAAAAAACAAACATTTCATGAATTAGTATAAATATTAGTATAAATATTAGTGATATAGTTCCGAAAGTCTCAAGTTTATGAAGGGAATTTCTGATATCTTTTTTTGCAAAATTATTGATAACTTTTGCAATTTTTTTTTTAATTTCTAAATGCTTTTTTAAATCAAATTACATCTCAATCATAATTTTCTTACAAAACAACTAAGACATGAGAGCAAACTTTTAAAAATTTGCCCAGAGGACAAATATCTCAAGTAGCAAGATTTGCCGAGAAAATAAGTATATTAAGATCTCAAGTACCTCAAAAAAAAGTTGACTTTTTAGTAGATTTTACTCAACACGTCAAAAATTAATAATCGAGAACTTAAATTCAACAAAACACGAACTCAAACAAATTTATGCCGCTTGGCGTACAGTATTTCGCTGCTACGCTAGAAATTTTTTTCTTGAGAAATGAAAAACAACTGGAACTATTAAAAGACATAATATCTAGCTTCAAAATCAATCCCTTTAAATGTAAGCCGCAAGAGAATGCCAAAAATAAATTATCGAGTTTAATTTTTTTAAGCAGTGCTTAGAGTATTTTCGGTTAGTTTGATAACCTCCTTCGGTGCATTTTACATGTGTTTAAAATAAACAAATGGATATATTTAATTGGCATTTCTTGTCACTGGTCCAGACTGAATTACTGATATCAGACTGTACTACATGTTCTTAATAACAAATCTATCTAGACTTAAGGGCGAACACCACTGTGATAATCGAAAAAAAGAGGTGATTTTCGGGAATTTTTTTCACAGGGAAAATAAAGGAATTTGAGAATCTGATTTTTTTTTATTTTATTAAGGGTACATTAAAGATTATTACCCTAAATTTTTATTAAAAAAATATTTAATTATTACAAAGTTATTACAAAGTTATCATCTGAAAATAAAAACCCAAATTGCTTTTTAATTAATAAGGATGTAGTTATCGTCGCACGTACGAAATTTGAAAAATTTTTATTTTAAAGATTTTTTTTAGCCGGGTTTAAACAAAAAAAAAAAACAAGTAAGAATAGTGAGAAAATTTTCAATCAGTCGCCTTTTTTTTTAAATTAAAATTTTCAAAATTCCGTACGTGCGACGATAACTACATTCTTACTGATTAAAAAGCAATTTGGGTTTTTATTACCAGATGATCCGTTTTTGAGTTATCGAACCGACCATGGAAGGGGACATTATTTCTAGTGCTCTACGAGATTGTTAATAACTTTATAATAATTAAATATTTTTTAATAAAAATTTAGGGTAATAATCTTTAATGTACTCTTAATAAAATAAAAAAAATCCGATCCCCAAATTCTTTTATTTTCCCTGTCAAAAAAATTCCCGAAAATCACCTCTTTTTTTCGATCCTCACAGTGGTGTTCCTCCTTAACGAAAATTTATAAAACTACCATCTTTTAAAATAAACAACTCAAAAAACTTACCGAATAAACGATCTCCACGAGTCCATGAACCCTTTTTCAACAATATAAAACTCCACTCCTTCGTGTTTAGTAATATCAACCCTATTCTTCAAAAAATACAAATCATTGAGCTCTTCTTTCTGATTCTTCGCTTTAATCTTATCATCCTTCTTAGTCTTCTCAGCATTCTCAACCTTCTGCTCACAAGTAGAACAGCTTTGCGCGCCAAAGGGATACTCAGTAGCCTTAGGAAAATACTTTTTCAAAATACTCCATACCGCAGCAGGTACAATTTTCCTCCCAGCATCAGGAGTCCTAAGTTTCCCGTGCTCGCAATGCAAGTCCTCATTAAAATTAAGAATCCTATCCGATTCATCATCAGCATCATGATGTTCCTCATGGTGCTCATGTTCATCCACATAACTACCATCACTTTCCTGATTGTCCTTATCATCCAACAAATCCATAGCCAGGCGTCTCCAGTTTTTCAGAGAATTAGCACCAACAAGAAAACAGTCTTCATTAAACTCCTTCACCTGCTTCATAATCTCCATCACCTCTTTCCTGTCTCTCTCCAGCTGAGCCTGGAACCTCAACACGCGACATCGTCTCTTCACGCAGGCTTCACAAAGCGACCTTTTGTCCATCCTGGGACCGCCTCTATACTTGTTAAAAATCATCTCAGCAGCTTCTATTGGCACACACTTCGCCCGGTTTATCTTAAGCGGGTCCACTTTCCCGTGCGAGCACATCAGCACCGAATTATCAACAGGAACCGCAGCTTCTGGACAACCAGCCAGGTCAGTGAACCATTTGGTCAACCAGCCAGTAGGTATCCACTCATATTCTTCCCACTCTCCTTTACCAAGTATCCCGTACAAGTCAATAACTTCCTGCCTCTTGATATTCTGGTGCTCAATCTCTTTCATATTATCCGCCTGAATAGCCAGCAAGCTATTTTCATACGTATCATTCTCCTGTCGGACAATCTGCCTCAATGGCTCGCTCAGCTCCCACTTGTCAAACCCCAGAGTCACATACTGATCGCGTTTCTGACAGCTCATAGCGCGATGTGCGTCGCCATTCAACGATCGGTAATTCTTCTCCCAACCATCTTTGTCATTATCATTATCATTATCATGATTATTAGCTTGTTGGTGATGAGTATCATCAAACTCAATCTTTCTTACAACTTGCAGCTTATCCTTAACCTGGACATTATTTTCGTCAACATCCATCGGCTCTTCACCAACTGATTCATTGTGTTCAGAGTGAGAATCATCCTCACTTTTGTATTTTTTAGTCGGGCTGAACAACGTTGGAGAATCATCCAGCTCCATAGGTTCCTTTCTTTTAGTGCCATTACCAGTAATAGACTCTATCGGCTCCTCTTTTGTTTTTTCTTTAATTTTTTCTTTCTCATCTTTCTCAATGTGATTTAAATCCGACCCAGTTCGTCCTTTGCTGCTCGACCTAGTGTAAACCAACATGTAGGCACTGTTTGAAGTCAAACATCCCTTTGCGATCTTGGTGCGCTTAACTTTACCTCCATCATTGATCCCATCCTCAATGCGCTTGTTCTGCAGGCGCTCAACTTTATCGTCACTGAATTGGTACCACTCGTCAGAAGACTTGCAAATATTTACAATGTAATGCCCTGAGTGGGTGGAAGGACCTTTGTGGCTCAAAACTGCGACCAGCGAGTACAAGTGCGTCCCAGCAGGGCAATTCAAGTATTCTGACATATCCAGTTCTTCGGGAAAAGAAATCGAGGATGTTAATTTTTTTTTCTGCGCGGACTCTCGGTGGAAAACAAACCTCAGAAGCTGGAAATTGAGAGTGTCAGGCAAAGTATTGAGCCTGATAAAACGCTTGGCGTCTCGTTTGTCCTTGCAGTTTCTGCAGAGGTATTTGTTGGTGCCGGATAAATCTTCCTCGCTGAGGTAGTTCTCGATTGCTTGCTTGAGAGTCGGGGCTAGCTGGAGGTCTAGTTCGTAGAAAGTTGTCGGGGTCTCGTACTCGCTGCTGCAAGTCGAGCAGCGGTTTACGTATGAGTATGTTCCTTGAGTCAGGCGCTGAAGCAAGGTTTTCAGGTGATGGTTCTGCTGGATTTTACCTTCTATGTGGGCGAGAAGTAATTTTGAAAATTCTTGAGCATCTTGCTGGGTTCCGGTGTCAAGAGACAGAGCTCTTGCGAGACTCGTTGGGTCCAGGAGCTGCCGATTTCCAAACTGCATCATCGCGAATATATACTGCAGCTGTCCAACTACTGTTACTGGTTGGTAGGGTAAATTTTTTTCTTGGGAACGACGAAGAGACTCACGTTCTTCTGGGTCTTCTGTTATGTTCCATTTGTAGATTATTCGCCTGGAAATAATTATTAAAGAATTTATTTTATGTTATTCGCGTTCTTATCCATGGTTTATAATATACTAGCTGTTACTCGCCCACTCCGCTAGGCGTTTTATAGAATTGCATTTTTAGATCTAGACTTGACATTTAATTTGAGTATTGTTTTGACTTGCACAGATTCCCAATTCCGTCGAATTGGCATGCTCCCTTTATCCATGTAATTATTCTAGCTAATAGTCATTGTAATTTTTAATGTGCAATCATTATAACATTCCCGTATCTTTCTTACAAAAATGAATAATTGATATGAAAAAAAAAATTTGTAATGAGCATTGAAAGTTTCAGTTTAAGAAATTGCAGGTCTCATAAGTGAAAAAATCTGCCTAGTATATAAACATAACCAATAGAATTAAAAAATTTATTTTAAACAAATGATAATCGAATAGAATAAATTTAGTTTCAATAAAAATTCATTATTTCCAAGTCAAAAATATATAGGTTCCGGATAAGTAATCACTACCATGTCATATACTAAAACCTTCTCCAAAACACGCTGCATCTTATGGTTTAAGTATTATTTCGATCGGTTCAGTAGTTTTCGCAGTATAACCGGACAAAAAAATCGACTCTCCATTTATTAGTATAGATTAAATCGGTTCTCATTTTCAGGATAATTAATATTTGATGTTTATTTAATTTTCATACAACGTTTCGCCACTTTCGCAGCTTCCTCAGGTACTCAATTGTAAACATCAACTGTTAAATTTATGTATAATAATCTCGGCATTCATACGACTTATAATTTCTTCTGTTTTTAGTATCATCTCACAATATTTACAAATAATACAAAATTGTAAATTATTAATAAAATAAAATATGAAAATATAACTTTCATTATTTACAATAATTTTTCACACCGTCTAAATTAAGGGGGAACACCACTGTGACGGTCGAAAAAAAGAGGTGATTTTCGGGAATTTTTTTGACAGGGAAAATAAAGGAATTTGGGAATTGGATTTTTTTTATTTTATTAAGGGTACATTAATGATTATTACTCTAAATTTTTATTAAAAAATATTTAATTATTACAAAGTTATTAACAATCTCGTAGAGCACTAGAAATAATTTCCCGCTCCATAGTCGGTTCGATAACTCAAAAACGGATCATCTGAAAATAAAAACCCAAATTTTTTTTTTAACCAGTAAGGATGTAGTTATCGTCGCACGTACGGAATCTTGAAAATTTTAATTTTAAAAAAAATGGCGACTGATTGAAAATTTTTTCACTATTCTTACTATTTTTTTTTTTTGTTTTAACCCGGCTAAAAAAATCTTTTAAAATAAAAATTTTTTTTTACGACGATATCGTCGCACCTACGAAATTTTGAAAATTTTAATTTTAAAAAAAATGGCGACTGATTGAAAATTTTTTCACTATTCTTACTATTTTTTTTTTTGTTTTAACCCGGCTAAAAAAATCTTTAAAATAAAAATTTTTTTACGACGATAATTACATCCTTACTGATTAAAAAGCAATTTGGGTTTTTATTTTCAGATGATCCGTTTTTGAGTTATCGAACCGACCATGGAGGGGGAAATTTTTTCAAGTGCTCTACGAGATTGTTAATAATTTTGTAATAGTTAAATATTTTTTAATAAAAATTTAGGGTAATAATCTTTAATGTACCCTTAATAAAATAAAAAAAATTCGATCCCCAAATTCCTTTATTTTCCCTGTGAAAAAAATTCCCGAAAATCACCTCTTTTTTTCGATCGTCACAATGGTGTTCCACCTGAATCTCCAAAACACAACATTTAAAAATTTTATTTAAAAGTTTAGGATCAATTGTCTTTTAATTTTTGTTATAAAATTTATGGTAATAATTTACAAGTGAGGTTCACCCATGCTAGCCCATGTTAAATTTTTTTTTTATCAAATTGATCAATTTTTTTTTTTAAATTGTTCGTTTTTTATGTACTTTTCAAAAAAAAATATATCAAAAACATAAAAAAAAGATAAATTAGAATTTTTATTCAAAAACGTGAAAGCCAAAATTTTTTCCAACTGTTAAAGGCAAAAAGTTATCGAAATCTTTATTTTTTCCTATCACGACATTTTTGATCATAAATGCGCCGTAAAAACAAGCAGAATCAAAAAAAAATTTTAAATGTTAATTTTTCACCTAGATATGGCCAAAAATAGGGTGGACCCTACTTATAAATAATTACCAAATTTATACTCTTCAATGCTAATTAATATTTTAGTGATGAAAAAAAAAATTTTCAATCATCAAGATAATTGAAATATTGTCAGTGTAATTATAATTATTTATTTTGTTTCATTAATAATTAGTTACCTCATATCTTCATTGTGAAACCAGACTTGAATGAGACTGTTCACGTAACACGTTGCTCCTAAATTTTTTAAACCAACGTACTGAGTTGGGTCTCGTAATTCGTCTAATGAATCTTCTAAAGTCGCTGTTTCTATGGGCAGGGATTTCAGATATTTTTCTTCGCCTAGTCCTACCAAACATCGAGGATTATAGCTGCAGTTACGCCTGAAAAAAAATTTAATTATGAATAATTGTAATTTTTATTTTTATTTATATTAAAACTTTTTTTTCGAAAATTGAGAAAATTATCAATTACAATTTTTTATATGTATTATTTTAATTTTTAAATAATATAAACTGCTATTTCCAGAATTATAAAATAAAAAATTTTGTCTAAAATTTTTTTTTTATTTCCACTTGAATTAAAAAACAACTGTTTTACAGCAATTTATTTGTTGATAAAAAATCTAGGAATTACCAGACGTTTACTTACTTGTTTCCGTATCATAATATATAAATTATTTATTCAATTATTATAAAAGAATATCTGTCTAAATAACTTTTATTTTAATAAACGCATGTTAGTACTATTTAAATAATATAAACTACTATTTCTAGGATTATAAAATAAAAAATTTTGTTTATACTATTTGACTTTTTTCAACTAATTACTAAATAAATATTTTTTTGTATCAATTTTTTTTTTTTATTTCCACGACTTGAATTAAAAAAAAAAAAAAAAAAAAACAAACTGTTTTACAAAAATTTGTTTGTTGAAAAAAATCCTAAGAATTATCAGACGTTTACTTGTTTCAATATCATAATATTTAAATTATTTATTAAATCATCTTAAGGAGGTCCTTTCGCCGCCAATGTAAAATAAAAAATATTAGATTATGAGTAAATTCAATTTTTTTCTAATAGTTAAGGTCCTTATTTATCTAATAGTGAGGTTTAAATTATACTTTACCGGACTAAAAGGTTATATTGTGCAAATGAAAATGTAAACAACCGAAGTACAGCGTTGCCAAATCACGGACAGGTTACTAGCAGTTGGTTTGAAAGAGTCAAATTAATTTTTGTATTTAACTATTTTTTTTTTTTTATTTTCAAAATTTCAACGATTAATGCCTCATATACTATTTATTATTTAATTTTAGGAATTTTTATGGGTTTCTTTTTTTAATTTATCGTATATTGACTACTACAATTGTTTTGACTCAACTGGAGCGAAAGGATTTCCTTAAAAGAATATTTGTCTAAATAACTTTTATTTTATTAAACGCGTGTTAGTACTACAGGCTTAACAATATTAATAAAATTTAAATACTATCTCAGTAAATCTGAAATTTAATTTAAAAAAAAAAAAGAAAAAAAAACATTTGATAAAATATGACCTGCTCAAAAAAATTAAATAAAAAAATATATCACCAAACTTACTTGCAATTTTTACAAATATTTAATGAGACTCTATAAGCCAAATCGAGTTGTTCATCAGCAATGTTCTCTGGAGATACAGAATCAAACCAAGACCAAGCTTCTTTTTCAGCTACATCAGCTCGCTTAGGATATGTACGATTTGGCATTTTGTCTGCTGTTAATAAATATACATCAATTAAAATGACAATCATCAACTTATCACCTCACTCGCTTAGTCAAATAATAACTTACCTTAAAATAACCTACCAATCCCCGAAAAAAAAGCTTACTAATTTAAAAAAAAAATTAATTACTAAAAAGTTATTAATTTTTTCGTTATGAAAAATGGCGGTTTGTTGATTGAGGTTAGATTGGTTATGTTACGAAAAGTAGTTGACACATTTAAATATCTATTTATTACTGTAACTAATAAAAATTTTCTACTTTGATCTAATTAAACTACTCATGTGTTTTTGTTCTATTTAACTAATAATTTAATGAGTTTATATTTTACTCCACACACTAATGTAAAACTGATGGAAGGCCACTATATAAACTTTTGCTTGGACACGCGCAAACTCATTTTTTATTTTCTGTTTTCCGCTTAGACAGTATGGCCGCCACCGGCGCGAAAACTTATTTTTTAAATTCATCATTTGATTCATCCATTATTAATTACCTAATAATTAATTATTTTATTGTAATAATTTTTTTTTGCTTTAAATTTCTTTTTTTAATATTTTATTAATTGTCATTTATAATTTTTTTTACATTTTTGCACTGTTAATTATTTATTAAAAATTTAGTAATTAACTATTTATAAGTAATGTTCATAATTTTGATCAAAAACTTTTTCTCAAATATAATAATTAAAAAATTTGACGTGTAAGAAATTCAAATTTACCGCGTTTATTTCAAAAGCGCATGCGCGATAAATTTGACAGCTGCGTGCGAGCCGGCCATTACAAAATCAGAACTGTCAGATTGTCAGCTACCGGCATGTTTAATGTTTAAAATGTAAATAAATTATTTACAATTGTCAGATAATAAATTTCATTTATTAGGTATATAATTTTAACAATTTATTTATACAAAAATTTATTTCATAAAATATTTAAATTATTGAAAAAAATACTTTTTTTTTCTAAAAATATCTTAAAATAAATTTCATACGAAGTCATTTTGAAAAATGACGAATTAAATTATAAGTAACAATAAAAATTATTATTAATTATAAGTGAGTCATATTAATTCTAAATTTTCAATGTGCAAACCTGATAAACATTCGCGCCACCGGCGATCATACCGACGATAAACACAAAATATAAACAAGTGAATCTTTTTTTTTTTAGTTACAAGTTGAAAAATTGCTATAAAGTTTGTTTATAAATGATAAAAGATCTAATTGCATGGAAACTATTGACTTAACGATCCGAATTATTAAAGAAAGATGTAAATAATTAATTGCGGATAGAAAAGAACATTGTTTTAACATGTCGCAGTGCCAAATAGGTTAGAATTTTTATGAAACTAAAATATAACATTAAAGTTAGCTGTCACTTGACCAATTTTTAATTTTATTTAACAATTAAATTAATTCTAAAAAATTGCATTTTTAATTTTTAAAAATTTCTACATGTCAATTTTTTTTTCTTACTTTTTTTTTTCGTAATTTATTAATTAACAACAGTTCTAAAAACTATCAAATATCTGCTAAATTAATTTTCATTACTAAAATTAACAGACATCTAAAAATTCTTGAAATTTTTGTTACAAATCAATGATTGAAAAAAAAAATATTTTTTTAAATTCGCACTTATAATTTTTTAAAATTTCTGTATGAGAAATTTCTTTGCTAAATATTTTGTTATAAAAATCTAAAAAATTATTAGGTGTCTACTAAATTCAGTATCATGAATTTTTTAATACTAAAATCAGCCGGCACCTGATGATTTTAAAAATTTTTATAATAATTTCAAAATTATAAAATAAATATTTTTAAAAATTCGCACTAATAATTTTGATTAATTTCTACAAGTGGAATTTTTTTAGTAAATTTTTTTCATAATTGAATTGTTATAAAAATTTTTATATTTATAAATGTCTGTTTACATTCCTATTATTTATTGTTTCTATAACTTGTAATAAATTAATTTATTTATTTCTCTACTTGCAGTTAGTTCGGATATCCTATCAGAATTACTAGAAGTCGCTTTCAACAGTATTATCTATTCACGGCAATTGTACCCACGAGAAATATTTACCAAGAAGAAAATTTACAGCACTGCCGTTTATATATCAGAACATCCGGAGGTTAATGATTATTTAAGAAATATTATATTGTCCGTAAAAGAACTTTTGGATTCTGATGTGACATCTGTTAAGAAGATTAATTTTGTCATTTGTGATGGTGAGCAGAAGGAAATTGAACGAGTTGTCTTTGATTTAATGGAGTTCCGTCTTACTGATAATGAGTAAGTTTTTGTTTTAAATTAGAAGGTAACAATGTTATTTTCATTAAAATTTTAATTTTATTTTAGCTGTCGAAATTTTATTTTATTTTATTTATTTACATCAGAGTATTTATCATCATTAACAAGAACGCTTTTTTAAATTTAAGAACATAACACTTTTTTCAGTAGATAATAATTTTAGTTAAGGTAAAAGCTCCTATTATTGACACCCTATTTAATTTTATTATTTCATAATTAAAATCTGTTAATAATCACAATTTTTTATATTTCATGCCAATTTTACATACTTTTAAAATTAAAAAATATTAAAATTTAATTTCAAGGTATAAACTATTTACCGCAAAAAAATTTCATTTTTTCAAATAAGCCAAAACTGTTTATACGTTTGTAATTTCTTAACAATATCGTTAAAAAAGACCTTATTTTAAAATCCACATTTCTCAATGTTTTTTTTTTATGTAATTGCATTGTTTAAAATTATTTTAGATGATTTATAGTCTAAATAACTATATAATCATTTATTTATACTTTATCGAGTTAAAATTAATTTAAAAATAGCGGATGTCAATGGTGGAGACACAAAAATTAACTTGCGTCAACTCACGACATAGGCCATAATGTAAGGTTCTCCATAACCAACTCTCTCAACATACATATCAACGTATTAATGTTTACAAACTGTCATGTGATTTTATAAGAATCAAATTATTTGAAACTAGAAAAGATTGCTAAAAACAACTTGGTAAAAAATATAGAAAAGCTAGGTCTTAAACGAATTTTAAAATAATAAAAATTATTGATAGTTTTACATTAGTTAGTAAAAATGATTATTGTTAATATAAATTTAACTGTAATAAAAGATCTGCCAATAATAGGGTCAAAGGTATGTCAATAATCGGCTCTTTGAATTTTTTACGCTGTCAATAATGCATACATTCGACCTGTTGGTTTTAAGTTGATACAATAATTATTAAATTTATTGCTATTTATCTATACTAATAAATGGAGAGCCGGTTTTTTTTGTCCGGTTATACTGCGAGAACTACTGAATCGATCGAAATAATACTTATAACATAAGATTCAGCGTGTTTCGGAGAAGGTTTTAGTATATGATATGTTGGTGATTACTTATCCGGAACCTATATTTTATTGACTTAGAAATAATGAATTTTTATTGTAACTAAATTTATTCTATTCGATTGTCATTTGTTTAAAATAAATTTTCTAATTCTATTGGTTATGTTTATATACTAGACATATTTCTTCACTAATAAGACCTGCAATTTCTCAAACTGAAACTTTCAATGCTCATTACAAATTTTCTTTTCATATCAATTATTCATTTTTGTAAGAAAGACACGGGAATGTTATAATGATTGCACATTGAAAGTTACAATGAATATTAGCTAGAATAATTACATGGATAAAAGGTGCATGCCAATTCGATAGAATTGGGAATCTGTGCAAGTCAAAACAATACTCTAATTAAATTTCAAGGCTAGATCTAAAAATGCAATTCTATAAAGTGCCCAGCGGAGCGGACGAGTAACAGCTAGTGTTAATTAATTAAATTATATAAGTAAAAACAGTGATTAAGGTGTCCTATAAAAAAAAAAGTTGACAATATTGATTTGAAACACGATAAAAAAATTCAAATATTCATGATCACTTTTATAGAGTCAATGATGGAGGCTTTTACTTTAGAGAGAAAAAAAACGATCCTATCTCCGGTAATCATGCCCAGTAATTTTTTTTACTGATCAAATTACCACCAGCATTTTCAAGATTCTTCTTTGAATCGAAAATTTTTTTTCCAAAAACTTAAATATCACTATAATCTATTTAAAAAAAAAAAATCATCAAATGTATCACCAAAATTTTTTCAGTTCGATCATTATAGACACATCCAGTAATAAAATTTATAATATTAATATTGTGATACTAATCGGGAATGTCAGGAAGTTCATTGTCTTCTTGATTTATTATTATATGTTTCTCATATCATCACTACTATTATTTTTATTTCTGATATTTATGTTTCACGTTTAATTCTTTAGTGTTCTAGAATTTTATTTGATTGAATTTTAAAGATCGGGGAATTAAAAATATTCAGACAAAAAATTTTTGTTTTATATAAAAAAGTTTATTACTTTTAGTTAAAACAATTGTTACCTTTCAATATGAAGCTTTTTGATTAGTATTAATAATAAGGTGTGAGTTATAATTAAAAAATAAATTAGAGCATTTTTAATCCATAGAAAAGATCCGTATTTCTTGAAAACCGAGGACGCTCTTCGAGAATTAAATCTGCGGTTGTTGATGTCCGATAATTATCTGAGTAAACTACCAAAGGATTGTACATTCTTTATTGAAATAGAAACCAATGAATCAGCTCACATTGGTCTAAGCGAGAATCCAAAGTGCCTTGAGTTTCCATGGATTGTTAAGAAACCGAGCGGTCAATTAACACAGCAAAGTGATAATAATTACTTATTGCCTCTAACAACAATTAAAACTGAATATTTAGGGTTACAAATTTTTTTTAAGACTTCAAATCCTTTAAATAAATGAATTTTATTCAAAGTTTTCATAATTTTTTATTACAATTCGCAATAATGAAAAATTTTATGCCCGACTTGTATAAATATAAATTTTTTTAATTTTGGTGTATTGCATTGCTACTTTTTAATGATCGTGAATAACTAAACTCAATAAAATAATTTTGAAAACTTAGTGTTGAAATTAATTAGAATTTTAATAAATTACGAAACATTTTATTAATTATGCAAAAATTAGGCCTGTACACTTTAGCCGGTTAAGCTAAAAAAAGAAGAAATGGATCAAAAAATTGAAGATATTCGAATCCTATCTTGAATAATAACTTAAAAAAGTTGTTTTTTAGCTTAGTAAAACATATTTTTCAAAAAAAAAAAAAATCAAAAATGTCACTCTTAAAAAAACGTAAAATTTTAGTTTACTATTGGAAAAAAATAAAAATAACAATAGTTTAAAAAACAAAAAACACGCTTTTATAGAAAACGAAACTGAAAAGTATATGAAGTGGGTCAAAATGAAGTCCAAAGGAGTCGATTACAAACATACAATCATACAGGTGAAGCTAATAAAAAGCGTGTAAAAATAAAAATTCACTGTTTTTATATTTTTCGTGAAAACTATGTTACGAGTTATCAATTTTCTTACTCTACATACCACTATTTTTTTGAAATTTTCAAAAATTCATATCTTCAAAACTTATGGAGATTAAGAGCTAATAATTCACAGGTACGCGTCTTATGATACATACAAAAAATCTCGAAAATTCAGTTTAATAAAAAAATATGATTTTGAAAATCAAGAGATTGGGGATGGAACAACCCACATACTAGGTCCCTAAAATAAAAATACATGAAAGTTTGAAGTTATAGTCAATTGTCGAAACTCGAAAAAAACGGGACACGATTCATCATTGGTTAAAATTAAGGCTCGCGCTATTCAAATTTCAAGTTCTAAAAAACGTTAATATTATTTTTTGAATTTAGCCGTGAATAAGAAGTCGTAAAATAGCTAAAAAAAAAAAAAAAAAAAAGCCGTTAGTTAATTAGCTAAGCTAATTTAGTTAACCGGTTAAATTAGCTAAGCTGATCAGTTAGCTAATTAACTTAGCTAACTTTTGTAGCCGGATTAGCCGACTAAATTGTACAGCCCTAGTAAAAACTACTACACAGAAAATAAAATGTTTATGAATCAAGTATATAATTTTGAAGAACTTAATCTTCTTGATTTGAGTTAGAAAAATTCTTGAACTAATAAATTTTTCTTGATTTAAAAAAATTTTACTTGATTCAAGAATGTTTCGTCTTGATCTAAAAAAATTACTCTCTTCAAAATTATTTTCTTGATTCAAGAATTTTTCTCTGGAATCAAGTTAATTTTTTTTTTCAGTGTATGAAGTTATCGTTTATGTTATTTATAACAAATAACATTTAAATTTTTTAACTGATGGCGTATTCTTGTAGAATTTTCTCTGCACCGAAGAGTTGAGTCAGTCGTTTTAAGTTCATTCATTTTCTTCATTTAGAATTTCTTCTGATTTATTTCTCTGCATGTGAATAATCTTACGTCGAATTTTTCCACGCCTTAAAATAACATCATAATTTTTATAACAATTATAATTATTAAAAAAATGTATTTATTATTATGACAATTTTTAATTTACAATAATTAACAAAATTTACAAATACACACTTCAATGATATTCTTATTAAAGCATAATAATAATTTTAAATTACACATAATTTATTTATAACTAGAACACACAGTAACAATTAATTCGTATCAATTGATCAATTAATAAAATAGTTATACGCAATTACTCTTAATTCTACACAAACAAAAAAACCAATACGATTAAATAATTTTTCTTTGGTAGTAACTTAAAAAAGAAAAAAAAAAATATTAATAAAACATATAATAAAAAAGAACAAAATCTAGATAAAATTAAGTATAGGCACTAGAAAGATCACAGACTTGAACACTTGGCAGCCTTTAAAGACTCCAATGGTTAAAAAAATAATTGCGACAGCTTACGCAATCAATTTGATGATAGCAAATAGCACGATTGTCACATATAGCGATGAAATCGCTCCAGTTGCCATGGAAACGTGCCCATGAGCGACTTCTGCTCGGGTTAGAGACCCTAGAGGCACTTCGGCGACAACTTTAGAACTGCGCTCAGTAATTCGGACAACTAGCTTTTCAGTTTCCGCGATGCACGCTCTCAATTGTAAACTGGAAGGTTCTTTTGCTGTAGACTGGACAATGATAAATATGTCATTCTCTGGAGTAACATGGCCGCGTAACGTGCACTGGGCAACTTGGATTTGTCGTCCTAGTGCTAGCAAAAGTTTTTCCAGTGTCACTGCATCTTTATCAGCTTCCTCGTCCATCATATAGTAAATTCGGTCGAGCTTGAAATTGAAAAAAATATGAAAATTAGTTTTTATTCATTATCAATTGGCAAATAAATGTTGGAAATATATATAAGATTCATGAGAATTCGTCAAAAAAATTTCTAATTTAGCCAATTTTTATACTTGGCCATACCCTAGTAGCAATTTGGTTCAAATTTTGGGCAAGTCTGGCTCAAGAATCGTGATGAAGTATTTGTATACAGATTTTTACGATTCTTGGACAAGAAACTCACAGCAGATTATTGTTCAAGAATTGTCGAGTAATCGATCCAGATATTTGACCAAGATTCTTGGGCAAGACTGGTGTCAGAATTCGTTCAGAAAATAACCAGAAATGGTGGAGCTCCACACCACCACTTTTTGAGACTCAGTTGTGAAGACAGAAGGGTGATTCTCTGTAAGGATGTTTTTTGCTGTCCCAGGCATTTTTTTATTAGAAAAATTGTTATTTTGTTACTAAAAAAAATTTATTATGAAAGTAAGAAAACATTTCTATTTAGAGCATTGAAAACTAAAATGAAACAAATTTTGGTTTTTTTGCTATAAATTCGTAAACCACCGAAATAACAGTCCCCTGGGCTGTTCTTTTCCCAAAATTGAAACTTTAAGATTAAATTTTAAGTTATTCGTCCATAATATATAATTTTGTCCATAATGTTTATAAACTTAACTAACAATCTTCTTCAATAAATAGTACCAAAAATTAATTTGTTTCATTAAATTCATTAAACTAAAGTTTGTCCCAGGCGTTTTAAGAACAGTCCTCTGCCAGAAGTTCAAAGCCAAAAAAAATCCAGCGTGCTATATTTTATGTTCTGTAAGGTTTCTAAGGACCTAACTAGCCTTGAGTTAATAACCATAAGGCTGTTAGCACTTTATCGCCATTTTATTTAGTGTCAAAACACCGTTTGTGCTGAAAAAATGTGTCTGGACCGGGAGATACTCAGTCCCTTGGCAACTATTTTTATTTATAATTTATTTATACAATTGGATCCATAAGTCTTAATATTATTCTAATTAATGTAAATATTCATTGAGAACTTGAAAAGTTGAATGCATTGAAATAGTTTGCTTGATTTTTCTCAATTTGATAAAAAAAAACAGTCCTCTGTCACGTTATATGGCAAAAGATACACAAATATCGAAAAAACAAAAATTAAATCGGCTGTTTATTTATTATCATTAAGCTGATAGTTTTGTAGTCCTTGTTAATTTTTTTTCTAATAAAATCAAAAATAATTTGGTCGGACAATTTTGTACAGATTTAAGACGTCCTTACCGAGAATCACCCAAAAGTTCTTATTCTTATTTCAGTACGGTAAGAATGCGCTCTATTAGTCTTTTTCGTTTTTCGTGCAATTCTGGATCAAACTTCTTTACCAACAATCTGGATAAATTCTGGCTACAGACTTGTCACTAAGCTTGACTAAGTATTGCTCCATATTCTGTTTTAAAATCTTGTCCAAGTCTGTCGCCAGTCTGGACAAATAATCTTGGTTAACTGTCCGGCACAAGATTTTTCCGATTTTGTTTCCAAAGCTTGGTCAACTATTTGACCAAAGAATCTTGTCCAAAACCAATGTTACTTAGGTATATGACCATATCAGGCAAAAAAAAATTTATGGGAACTAAGACTAATGTTTCCGAAGCTACAATAGTAAACCTACCTGTTTCTTAGAATAAAATATGCGTGCCGCGCCACCACAAACAGGACAACAGCTCCCCGGAGGAGTGACGCCTATGCAATTGGAAGGATTCAGTCTTGGACATTTTACCGCATCGCCACATCTGGGTATGTTTCGATCACCAACAACACCTACCGCAACACAAGCTCCGACGTAATCAACGATAGTCCTATCAGCCCAAGCAGCGCACTCGCTGGCATAAACTTCGCCATTCACCGCACAAATTGGTCCTCGAAGGCTGCAACCTCGTAAACAGGGTCCATGGTACGCAAGAGCAGCTTTAGCTTTTATCAAAGCACAGGATGTATTGTGCTGACGATTGTCCCGATCGCAAACCGGGCCGTATTGTGCATTTCGAAGATCACAATCCAAAGGAACGCATTCGTATTGTCTACATGGTTTGTGGATTGGTGATAAACAAACCCGTGGTTTACGCAAGCACCTTTCATTTGGATTACACGGATTTGGTTGGCACGGATCTACGGAAGAACAGCTTCCAAATTGGATCTCTGTTGCAGACAGTCCAGTGCATTTGGCCAAGCAGGCGCTTGCATAGGTGACCCCAAATCGGCTGCAAACTGGAACATAGTGAGCAGGACAATCGCAAGGCAGTGACGGAACGCGTACTTCGCTGCAGGTTTTCCGTGAGCAAGTAACTTCTCCCTCGAAACAGTGACACGGATTGCAATCTAAGTAGAAGTTGGTCCTGTGAGCCACGAAGCGGTCTTGCACCCAGCAGGAATTGGGGTTGTAGCAATTGAGAGTTTTGCACTTTTCTAACCCATTAGCAGTGCACTGACAGACGTGATGACACCCTTGCTGATCAGTCCGCGGTATCTGGACCCAAGTGTTCAAAGGAACCAGTAATCGTGACATTTCCCCCAAAGTGCAAGATGGAAGACACTTGTACAACGTGCTGTCATTGGGTGTAAGCACGCAAACTTGGTCATCTGGACATGGGTTCCGCTTGCAAGGAGTGGAAACATCAGCAGAAGGCAAAACTCCAGCAACAACTTCATCTTGAGCTTCCTCCATGAAAGGTCGAAGAGAAACGCAGGGTGTTCCAGGCCTGGATGGTGATAACTTAGCACACAAACTAGCTGCTGTATGAGTCCGACCTATCACCGTCCAGTCGACGCAATTGGCCATCAGTTCTAGGCAGTCTTCTCGGCACAATTGGGTCTCGTGGATCCGATTCTCGCAGGGTCGTAACTGAAGCACACACGCTGCTGCTCGCAATGATTCTAAAGGGCAGGAAGGATCAGCACGAACTGGAACTCCTAAACCACGGATCACTCCACCACGAGCCCAATGATCAGCTTCCCAGCGTGCTGCGTCGTCAGCTGATTTCGAGCATGAACGGAACAGGTTGACTGGGCGGTTATTGAATTTGGTACAGTAAGACAATCCGGTGCAGCCAATTTCACATGGTTCGTCGGAATCTTCAATGCAGCGACGTAAATCAGCTTCATTTGGCGATGACAGGCACTCGGTCTCCATCTGCGACCAGGACACTTCCCAGTCTGCTTGAAAAGCCTTCCAGCAAAGGTTCTGGCAGTTGGTACTCGCAGCTCGTGAACAGCACGTCAGTTTTCCAATATCTAGAGGAACCCGTGACGGCTTTATCGGCGCTGTTTGAAGAATGCAGCTCCAAAGAGGCGAATGGGGAATCACTGGATGACATTTTTCTTCCAGTGTGTCCAAAATCTCTCGGATGGAAGACGATTTGAATAGTACTTTTCTACAAGCATCCAGACAATCGGGTGTGGTGGCCTCCTTACAGCAATTCAAATCTGAAACGGGTCAATCAAATTAGCATTCGTTAACCTTGAAATGAATTCAACTGGGCGTTATAGTTAATCCCATTCCCCGTTAGGCGTGTACTTACACTGCTTAGGATTTTCTGGATTCGCTGACTCGGCGACAGTTTTCAAGCACTTCGGCACTTGAGTAAAGCATCCTTTGCTGCTGTACAATTTTAAGCTGAATTGTTTCCCCGGCTTGTGAAATAAATCACGACATACCGAGCGGCACGTCGTATTGGAGACATCGCTGCAACAACTCTCGCCCTCCTCCCGCCTTTCTAAGCATGAATAGAATTCCAATTCATCACTCGGACGGCAAGAATTTTCTAAATGCATCCGTGACCCTGCTAACGCACAGGATGACTGGCACAGCGGATACTGCGCTAAATGACAACAGCCTCTGCCAACCCAATTTTCATTATTTTCTGCTTCTGAAATATTTATTGGTAATCGTTAATTGTTATATTAGTTATTGGATTAAGGTTCTAATTTTTTTTTACTTACCACTCAAAGTGGAATTTACACAGGCCCAGAATTCCGACTGTAAAATACAGTTTTCGATTATTTATTAGTTAAAAAAATGATTTTATTATTGTTTAGATTATTGATAGTAGAAAAGTAATAATAACACAGAAAAAGAAGAATAACAAAAAGAAATAAAATAAAAAGTTCAGGAAAAGGAACAACAACAATTAGAAAATGAAACGTGACAAGATACACTGAAAAAAAATTAACTTGAATCAAGAGAAAAATTCTTGAATTAAGAAAATAATTTTGAAGAGTTTCATTGTCTTGAATCAAGACAAAATATTTTTGAATTACGTAAGATTTACTCAAATAAAAAAAAAATTTCTTAGTTTAAAAATTTTTCTACTCAAATCAAGAAGATGAAATTCTTTAAATTTATCTACTGATTCAAGTAAATTTTTTTTTTCTATGTAAGAAACGTTTGTGATGGAGAAAGAAATACTAATAATGGAAAGAAAAAGTAAAACAACAAGGAAAAGAAACAACAACAATATGAAAAAAAAAAAAAAAAAAAACGGCATGAAGAAAGGGCGGCTGTCCAATTTCAAAACACAGTAACTAACATTAAAAAAATTTTTTTAATTTTTCTTATTAAAAAAAAATTTGCCCGCCAAATTAATGACAAATTTGATTTATGAATAGAAAATACTCAAATATAAATATTTTTAAGAAAAAATACTTGAAATTAAGGTTTAAAAGTTATAAAAAATGCAGCAATACTAAAAAAAAAATCAGGTATAAAAATTTTGCAGTTACTATGTTTTAAAATTGGGCAGCCGAGGGAACATTAACAATAAAAAAAGACACTTGAAGAATAGGAAAAAGATTATTACAATAGAAAATAGGAACTAGCGATTGGAAAAAAAAAGTAATGATAAGAAAGCCAAGAACAGCAAAAGAAAAATGAAGAACGGTAATCGCAAAAAGGAATTACAACACTAAAAATAGGAAAAAGAGGGGAAATAACAAAAAAAAGAATAACAACAGGGCATGGAACATTAACAATAAAAAGAAGATCAGAATAATAAGAAAATGGAACATTAATAATAAAAAAAAGAATAACTATAACGAGAATAAAGAAAATAACTTTTTGAATTAAAAAAATTTTTTTAAATTAAATTTTTTAATTTAAAAAATAAATCATTTGATAATTTTCAAAAGTATCAACTAATTTCTTTTATAAAATATCAAAAGTTAGCAAATAATAAAAAAAAAAAAAAAAAAGAAAAAAACGGTTCACATAAGTACAAATCCATTGAAATCTATAATCAATCATTCATATGTCTAGTGAAAATTGATTTCCTGTACAGTAAGAAAAATTGTGTGCGTCTATTGTGTCAATTGATCGATTAGAAAAAGTACAATGAAAATAAAGAGAGAGATTCTGTGTCTAAAAAAAAAATGGTCTTACCATGTCATGTGAACAAAAGTCTGTCAACCTGGTCCTGACACTTTCACGCACTTCTGAGTCAGCTCCAACGGCAACCAATGATATCTGTGATAAAAAAACAATAGGTTCAAAAAATAACATTAAAAAACTTGGTCATGTTTTTATTGTATAAGTTGTAGCAATATCCTGTTCTACGACGGAATATCAATTGATGGAAGTAAAGATGGAAGAGACAAAACTAAAAAGAGGGACATGAGTTAATAGTGTGTACGTTGTGCTGATGAAAAATATAAAAAGTAAAAAAAATCCTTAGTGGATATAATACTTTAGTCCTCATTCCCTTCCCTCATTGCCGATTCAATAGACGTTTTTCTCATGATATTTACATTATATTAGTATGTGTCACGTATATTGTTGCATATAACTAGGACTGGAAGTTTCTGGACAAGGGGCCAAGCTAAGAGTTATAGTTATAGATACAACTTATAACTTAAATAATTTAATGTAACTAGTGTATACAAATGCTTTTGTCAATGTAATACAGTAACAAGATAATAAGATGTACTGTATAAATTGTATATATTGTATAAGTGTTGCGGGGGATAGAAAACGGAAATGTATAAGTAGCAGTGATTATCTTAAATTCAGAAGTACGGACCAAAGGTCACCTTCTCTTATCATTTTATCTAGTTTTTCTGGAAGTTTTAACGGCTACAAATTTAAATACAAACACTTATTGATACGAAAACTTGTTTCGTAATAAGAATAAGTTAAACAGATGTCGAAATTTATGGATGTCTTTTTTCTAAATTTATTCGTTACAAGTTTATTTTCGAACACTTTTTATGATTTTTATAGTTTGGTTTGAATTTTTATCATGATTATGTTATTCAGAGTGAAAAACTTAACTTCAATAGATTTTATGACAAATATAATACATTGAAATGTAAATTTGAAAATTGAAATGTCAAATATTGAGTGTTTATTTTATTTGGATTTCTTCTAAGTTTTATGCTGAAAAAAAAATTACTATCCAGTATTTTCAATTCATGAAATTAATTCGCCATTCAATAGATTGACATTTTTGAATAAGGTAAAGTACCCAGTAGTGGAACAGGTTTCAAAATAAAACGTATTTGACTCTACTTTTAATATATAAATATGTAATTATTAGTTCAAATTAGTGATTTTTATGAAAATATAAACAATTTTGAATTGATTGAAGCGCAAAATAACGCAAATAATTGAATATTTATAATTTGACAACGTTTTTACGATAGACTATGAAAGGAGGAGTAGTTGAACGATCAATTCTGACAAGCCGCAGTAGTTGAACACTCCGGGAGCAGTAGTTGAACTAATAAAATATATGGCAATAGGCACACCAAAATTTTTTAACGTTTAATTGAAATATTCAAAGATTTATAATATATTATTGAATAATATTAAAAATAACACTGTGAATATTTAATATGTTCATTTAAAAATGAGAAATATTTGTATTTAATTTATTAATTACATTTTTTATGAATGACAAAGTAAATTTTCAATTATAAATCAAAAAAACTCAATTCAAAACGTTCAATAATTTTTAACTATACTAATTTTTAGTTATAAAACTTATTTAATTTGCAGTAATTAATACAAATCACAATACTGATCACTAGTCTATAAACCTATTGAAGGTTAGAGTGCTGTTAAAATTATATGGTCCCAGCTTGTTCAAGTTCTGGGTACCGCTTTGAAAATTGGGAGGTATAGTTGAACGCTAAAATTTAATATAAAAATTCTAGTTTATGTCTTTGCAAAAAATATGTATTATTTAGAAAAGACTATTTCATTGGATGGTACAATTTTTTTCACTTAAAATGATGATATACCGTTTTTTTTTTTACTGAATGTTCGGTTTCCGGTTTAGTACCTTTTTCATGAAAAAAATAGCATCTATCAGTTATTCTCGACATGTCAACTTTAAAGTTAACAAAAATGTAATTGTTTTGATTTATAATTGAAAAAACTTACCAAAATCAATTACTGTATCATTGAATAATTATAAAATGCGCATATAACTCATAATACATATACAGTTTTTGTATTACAGCAATTCTAAAAGTCTGTTCAACTATTGGTCCCATTTTTAGAAGTGTTCAAGTACTGGGTACTTTACCTTAAGCAGAAAATTTATTAAGAAGAAAAGTTAAAAACTCACGAAATAGTTATTTGCAAAAATGTGTATTGAATCTTCAATGTTATTAAATTGAAATCTAATTTTTTCAGAATATAAAACCAAAAAAATCTATAATAATAAAATTGTTTGTCAGGGTAAAAAAAAACGATAATAATTTATTAAGGTAGTTTGTATTTCCGTCAGAAAATTCTAAATTTTTGTATACTTATTAAGGACATGATGATACAATTACCCTTAAAATTTAAACTCGATTGACCACCTTTAACTCGAAATGAATTCAATTAAAAATTGGATAATTAAAATTGATTGCATACGCTCTCTGCAGTTTTGTACCAGTTTCTTAGTTATGAAAAAAAACTAACCGTCAGAAACTTTCAAAAAACTGTCAGTCTTTTAATGTATTTGTTGTGAGTTTTTAAGAAAGAAAATTTTAAGGAAAACGAAAGTTATTTTGCAGCAAGAAAAAATTTTCTTGGCTCAAGAAACTTTGACTTCATTCAAGAAATTTTCAACCTCCTTTAATATTTTCTTAAGCCAAGAAAATTTACACTTCAGTCAAGGATTTTTTTTTAGTGTAGAAAGAAGTTGTTTAAAATATGTTTTTATAAAATATTAGATTAGCATGTATTTAAAGTCCACTTTAGAGTTAGCATTTCCTTTCCGACTTTTAATTTTATGAAGAGACTAATTCTTCAACCAAAATATGGAGTTCTTAAAGAAAAACGAACTTATAATATATAGTTAGTTCTGGAGGATTTTTCTTCAATAAAAAATTTAATTGTATCGATTGAAGGTGACAACGTTCTTGAACCAAGCGACAATACTTATTGACAGAAAATTTTAATCTCTTGAGCCAAAATTACGATATTCAAGATTTTTAAAAATAATACAGCATGTTCGTCTTCAAAATAAATTCCTTAGAAGAATATTTTTCTTCAATGAAGTTACTTCTTCTTATCAATATTGATAAATAAATAATTACAAGTACAAAGTCTCTTAAAAGCCACTTAGAGAAATAATATTTAACAATCTAACTGGAGAAGTAACCGCCTATTTTAATCACGTTTATTCTTAGATGCAACTTCCTTTTAATTTTTTTACTGCAGTAAATTCACGACCCTCGTTGCAGAGTACTTTTAGAAGATAAAATTAAAATTAAAAAGACTAAGCCATTTGTTTAAATTTTTCAAATTATAAATTTGACTAATAAATAAAATTAGCTCATCCGTCAGAAGGTTACAAAAATAGACAACTATTTTTTAGATCTACTCAAATACGGATTAAAATACTCACTTTAATCCGTACCACAGAAGTTAAGATTATTTATAAAATTACTTAGCAAAATTTGTGAGTGTGATAAAAAAAATAATAGTTTAGTATCCGGTGTAGCTAAAACAACAAAGGAAGTACTCATCAACAGTCGAAAACCATCAGAGGTTCGTCACTTTTCATTTATAATTCCTTCTTCACCTTTTTTTATTTACATATGTAGGTATGTTATTTTATCTGCTGTTAAATCTTAACTCTCTCTATACTTAGAGCAGTGTAGCTTCTTGATCTTTTAAAACATCAAAGTTATACTTGTGTATTTGTTTACTTCCTATACCCGGTAATTTTTATCTCACGATAAGCTATCTTTCATGCTAACAAACATGTCAATCGATCTCAACGGATCATCGTTAGATTATATTATATAGATTGATTATTGATAAAAAAATGTTTTTTTTTTTTTACCTCGGAACAAGCGGTGCGACACTCTCCGTCTGCAACTGAACAGCACGACATTTCTGTAATAAAGATGGAAAATGATTAAATTATGCAATTATTTTTTTTTTTTCGTGCAAATTGTTGCAATAAAATCGGTCAACAATTAATTAGATTTAATTTATATAACTCTATGGAAAATTTCAAAAACGGAGAGAATTTTTTTTTTATCCAAGAATATTTTTTGGAAACAGATGAATATATTTTTTTCTAAAGTTAAAATATATTTTATACATAAAAAATTTATTTCTACAATAGTATATCGAAAATTTTTCTATCAATGAAGATATCCGTTTTTTTCGGAACACTTTTAAAGGAATAGCACAGTTTTCCCTCTCATTTATTCAAGAAGTCGAGCGTCTCTGACAGAAATACCCTTAAACCAAATTAAATCCCGAAAATCTCATTTGTTATTATAATAGGGATTATAAAGGATAAATATATAAGTATAGTCTACTGTATAGGTATAATCACTTGAAATAATTCACAAAAAGAATAAAACTTTTATGTCTTACACGTATAAAAAAATTATACATTTTCAATAATAAGAAAATGTTTTAATTTAGAAATAATAATAATTTATTTTTATCACATTACATGTTTAATACAAAATTGCTTGAAAATTGAGATTCTCAATAATTTATGAATAAACTGGTTCTTTAATAATAATAATAATAATAAAATAAAAAAATTTTTTTTAATTTTAAATTTTCTCAACGGAAAGTTAAAAATTACGCCTTATAGACTTATGTTTGTTCTAACGAACACCGTAAAAAATTTGGTAAACTTAGTATTATTTTGGTATAAAAAATGTTAAAATTAAAGTATCGAGTTTATGAAGAACGTTTCGATACGCCATTCTCATACGTCGTATTCCACAAAATTTGACAAATTGATTTTTTTTGAAAAATAAAATCATGACAATATTATGCAAACCATTTTAAAAATTTAAAGGTCAAGTAGTTTAATAACTGTTTTTAAATAAATATTTTCATACGTTGGATCCCATTTAATCAATGTTAAAAATTAACCATTTTTACCGTCTGCTGTAAAATTTTCTAAATGTGGGATACGACGTATTAGAATGGCAGTATCGATCTATAATTCATGTATAATAATATTATGTCTATTTATTAAACTTACTAATCTTTGTATACATATGGTTTAAAAATCCGTTTATTGTATATTTAACAACATACTGATACACAGAAAAAACAACTTCTTGCACCAAGAAAATTTTAAGGAAGACAAAAGTTACACAGTCAAAAATTTTAGTCGTCATTGCGTCAAAAAATTTTAACATTTTTTGTGTTGATTCAACACAATAAATGTTAAATTTACACTTAAAACTGTTAAATATTTAACACAAAATTTTTTGACGCAATGACGCAAAATTTTTGACTGTGTATTTTGGAGGAAGAAGAAATTTTCTTGGTTAAAGAAACTTTGACTTCATTCAAGAAATTTTCAATCTTCCTTAATATTTTCTTGAGCCAAGAAAATTTACCCTTCACTCAAGAATTTTTTTTTTTTAAGTGTAAAATTACAAGACAAAAACGCGTTAAAAAAAAAAAAAAGGATTTTAGGGAAAAAAAATCAAACTTATTGATAGAATTACAAAATTTTAAGAAAATTTTCATAATCTTCATAGAAATTTGCGTAATTTTAATAATAATAATAAATAGGTTTTATTTGTATCACTTAAATTGTGTTTTATAAAGTTTTTATATAGATTTTTAAATCTAAAATATCTCCGTCTTTCTCTCTTATTCTAACAATGCTTTGGTTCACTTAATTCTACTTTGTACTGTAGTTCTTTTTATAATCGTAATTTTAATATATAAAATAAGAATTTTGATTTAAACCGCTTTTGATATTTTAACAAAGCTGAGTTTGTAAACATGATGTCCATTTATCATTATTGTCAAGATTTATGAAGATGCAAATCTTTCCAAATGAATTCATCACCAGACATATTATTAACAGTGCGACTCCTAAAATTTTCCCACGAAATTAATAACTACCCTGTAATTTCGCAATTTAGAACGTTAATTCATGTATTTACTAAAAATTAATTTTTGTAGCGTCACTTGTATAAATTTATTTACTCAATAAAAAAAAAAAAATTGAACAATCATCCGGGTCTGTTTGATGATACTACAAAAGGTCGAACGAGTGGAGCAGAGTCAAATGAACGAAAAGTAAAAAGTAAATCCACAATACTTGTCCCCTCGTATGATTTTCTTCTCAACTCAATACAACTACATAATATACAATGAATGAGCGTTTCCTGTACAAGCATTTTGGTAACTGGTACTTGATCTACTCCATCCCCCTACACCCTCAGGAATGACACAGTAAGAGACGATAGTAGCGTTTAACATACTATATACATACATATATGGATATAGTAAGATCTGTGTACAGTAGATCAGACGTCAAACGTCCCGCATACGCATGTGGGGTCTACAAAGGGCCCTCGAGCCGAGTTATGACACGCAGGGCGTGCCTGAGACCCGGTGTCTTCTGTAAAGTCTCTCACGTCTCTTATAACAAAACCATACGCTTCGGATTCCGCTTTTACTTTCATTTTACTAATGCTATACTTGTACATACTTTTCCTTTTTTTCCATCCCTTCTTGTATGATTGCTACGCCGATTTTTTCCCACTCACCACATGACCTACCTCTCTTGTTACATGTCACGGAAAACCCGTAGAAAATTAGTGAGTTACAGAAATCCTTGATTTTTTTTAAGTGTCGAATTTTAACTTATATTTTTTTCAGTTAAACTTTTTTTCGGGTGTTGGGATGAAAATGTTTTTAAATTATGACATGTTCTAACAATTTTTAGGATTTTGGTCGAAAAATAAATGATTCCATAGAAAATTAAAAAAAAAATTCTTTTCACTAAAAACTTTGTTATTTTTTTCGTCTTGGCATAAAAAATAAAAAAATGAATATTTTGAACCTTTTTTTTCTGAAATTACTTTATTTCATGGCGAATTTACGATAAAAATCATAAAATAGGCAAAAACAAATTTTTTAATTAGTATCAAAGTTTTTAATGTTTACAAAAGTTTTATTTTAATCGAAAATTATTAATAAAATGTGTCTATATGTCTTACAATTTTCAATTTTTTTTTTATATTGTACGTGTAAAAACAAACTATTTTCACAAATTTCTATTTTTTTTAATTTTTTAATCGAAAATTTATAATCAGATTATAAATGATTTTTGAAGAACCAAAAAAATGATTGTTAAAAAAATAATGTAAATATTATTTTTATGTTAAAAAAATTAGGTGACGGTGAAACTAAACAATTGCCGATAATTTAAAGTTCAGAAAGAATTAAAAAACTATGAATAAAATATTTTTTTTGACAATACAAAAAAATTGCTTGGCATTTATTGTTTTTTTTTTAAATCAGTATTTTGATTATTTTTTTAGATTTCTAAAGTGAAATTATAAATTTTAATTTTTTTCTTTAGAATGTATAATCATTTTAAATTTTAGAATAAAATATCAAGTTTTATAAAATAAAATTTCGAAAAAGTACCAGTTAAAGGTTTAAATTAATTTTCAAAATTTTCATAAAAAAATTTAAAACAATTATTGCAAAGCATAAAAAACTCTAAAAAATTTGAATGCCTCAAAAATTGTTTGCTTAAGTTTGAAATTTAAATTTCAGGAAAAATATAAAAAAAATAAAAAAAAAAAGAACATATTTGTAGAAAATTATTCGACAGAAATTGAATTAAAAATTATGAAGGAAAATTTTCCAATCATATAAAAAATTTCTATGTTTGTAAAATGCCAGGAAAATTATTGATGATATAAAAAAGTTATTTTTTGCGTGATTAAAAATTAAATTTTATATTTTATAAATTTTTATTTAAACAAATATTTAGTCTTAACAACAAATAATAAATAAATAATAAAAATTATCAAGAGACATTGTACTGATACTGAATAATGCATGGTGAGTTCTGTGCAAACGAAACAGCAAGACAATTAAGTTAATAGATGCCAATTAGTCTGCAAATTGTTCTGGCATTTCAACGCTCATTTTTAAATATTTTATAAGCTCGATATTATATAAAATGTATTATTATTTAAGAAATAAATAGTTGAATGTAAACATTAGCCCCTTAAGTTTTTAACTTCCGGGAAATATTTGAAACCGTTATATAGAATTTTTTCAGAATTTTCTTGTTTACACAGCTGGAACTATCTTCGAACGTCTTCATAATGTAATAACATTATAATATAGTATATTTTAGTGGTGAAAAATATATACAAAAAATACTTAATGTAAAGTATAATTGTTTATGTTTTTGGGTTTCTGCCAATTGAACGAGAGTAAATTTGTACAAGTACGAAAAAAAAGGTAAGCTCGCGGGATTTTTGTGGCTTATGATGTGGGATAAACGAAAATAGATTATACGTTGCGGTGAATATTTAAGCGTAAAGAGAGTAGTCTGGAGAGTTTTATTCGAGTTTGAGTAATGTCTGTGATATCTGGCATTTATTAAGATAACAGACACTTTAAAACACTTTTTTTTTAATCATTTAAATAACAATTTATCATTTCTTAATTTTAAAGAAATAATTATTACTAGAAACGTATGTCTTATTTGTTTTATAAATTTTTTATCTTAAAGTTTAAAATAGATTCAAATAATACATTGGAAATAAATTACATTTTTGTAGAATCGTTTCATTAATTTATCTAAAAAATTAACCATTTATAAATTTCTATTAATTCTTCAATAAAATAATAATAATTTATAACTTTAATTTTAACATATTTTAAAGAGAAAATTAAATTCAAATTTTTCTTATATGGAGAAATGCATAGTAAGATTAACTATTCCTAAAGGTTATGGACCCAGTTTTCAATTTTGCAGTTTCTATTAAACAAATTTTTTCTACTCTAAAAAAATTCATCATAGGTTTCAAAAATTTTAAAAACTTTTAATAATACTCACAAAAATCTAATCCCATATATTATTTATTACAGATGTTTTTTTTTGTGTTACAGCTAGGTCTTTTGTAATCCTTTACCAAACTTAAAAATTTAAATACCATATTAAAGTTTATGATTCCCGCTTTTCACGTAAATTACACAGTATAAAATTTTGTGTCATTACGTCAAAAAACTTGGTGTTAAAAATTTTTGTGTTAAACATTTAACACTTTTATGTGTAAATTTAACATTTATTCTGTTACATCAACACAAAGAAAGTTAAATATTTAACATAAAAATTTTTAATACAAAATTTTTTAACGCAATGACGCAAAATTTTTTACTGTGTAAATTTTGGATTGCTAACATTTTATGCGCAAAAGTAATCTATATTAAGCAAATTGATGAAATAAATTCAAAACATTTTTTATAAATATGATATCAATTGTTGTTTACAATCCAACGTAATAGTATATTATGTAACCGAATGGATTGGGTTTTAGACTATGTAATGACAGTTGGTGCAACGAGCAAAGCGTGTGCGTTACCACACGAGTATTAAAAGCCTGATCCAATCAGTTTATACATAAATAAATGTAATTATTATGAAAATATAGTTAGCCGACATTTCAAAATTTTTAGAAATTTTTTATTGGAATAATTTCAATTAAACAATTAAAAAAAAAAATTTCACATGTAAAAAACTTGAAAAACTATAAGTGCAATTTTTTAGAAATATTTTTTTAGTTGTAATTTAATTAATAAAAAAAATCAATAATTTTTAGACGTCTGCTAACTTCAGTGTCATTAATTATTTCATAAAAGTAACATAAAATTTCAAACAATGTCGTGATAAAAAAATGAGTGGTCATATTATAATGTAAAAATCAGTAAATGCATTCAATTTCGTCGTCTTAAGATGAATTTGACCAAAATTGATTACTTTAACTGTTTAAGTAGATATAGATCATATAAAAAGTATTCTTATTCAAGGGTTCCTGTATCAAATTCCATCGAGTGTAAATAAAATTTTTTACTGCACCAAAAATTAAAGTGTCTATTAAATGACAACTTGAGACTAAACAAAAAATGATTTATGCAAAAAGCAATCAACAACTAAATAAGAAGAAAAGATACAGTTGTTTCTTGGTTGCATTAAGTCATAGCTCTTAACTCTCTTAACTGATACACATTATCCTATATCCCGGACCCGACTAAATGGCAATTTACTCAATTGCATAGATATTTAAATGACGCGACGTAAATTATCACTTAAGCCCACAACTGACATTAATAACGCATTAAATACTAGAAAGTACGCGTCTCATAGTAAATTTAATATCTAGTAGCTATCGTTAATTATAAAGCAATAACCAACACTTGGGCTACTAGTTTTCACTAAAAATTACATCCGACATTGATCGGTATTAAATTATATTAATCACTCGTAATAATGATGAATAGATTTATTATTTATTATATATAGATACTTTCAATAGCTCTTGATCTCTTGACTTGATCTTTTTTCATGTATCATACACATGTGGGTCACTTAAATCCTCAATTTATAATCATATCTACTAACGAGAAGTTGCCTTTACTTAACATTTAATTTATAGTATGCATGTATATAGTATGTACTTTGAATGAGTATAAGCAGTTTGATTCTTATTCATTCTTTTTATATTACTTTTTATTCTTTATTATATTCATGTATAGATCGCGCGAGAAATTTAAGTGAGCGTGAAATAGCTCATACATTTTTTATCATTTTTTTTGCGGATATTTCTATTACCTGTTTTAGTAATAATATTCGATATTTTGTTATTCTAATTTTGAAGTATTATATATAAAATAAGACAATTCATTACTAATTTTATCGGTAAAATTGGGTTACTCTTTTAATTTGTTTTAAAGACAAAAAATTTTTGTCTTTTTCAAGTCATAAAATTTTATTTTGTTAAAATAATTAATTTATGAGGTCATATTAATAAAATGACATTTTTAGCAAATTTTAAAGATTTATGGTAGAAAGTGATTTGCAGTTTAAAAATTATAATATTGTTTCCATTTAAAATCATTATTTTGTAACAAAAATGAAAAAATAAAGAGCAAAATTAATCATTGTCTCAATTTTAACCTTTTAACTTTTAAACCAGTAAATTTAGCAAAAAATTATAAATGATCTTTTTTGTCTGAGCGTTTAATTCTCTACGGTAGTATTTATTTTACATCATTGTGGATTAATTTTTTACCTACTTATAGAATTTTAAAAAACAAAAAAAGTTTTTTGCATGTTATTTCCATTCAAAATTCAAATTTTTAAGGGATTTTTTTTCAGTTTAAAAGTGTTCGATTTCTTGGAAAAATAAAAATTCGAAAAATCTAACTAGTATGTGTTTGTGTTCATAACACAATTATTGAAAAATTTTATTGTTTTGTTTAATGAAAAAATTTTTACAGTAATTCAGAATTTTCCGAAAAATTTTTTTAAAAAAATTTATTTAAAACCTCATTAAATTAAAAAAAAATAACAATAATTATCATATCTGAAAAATTTTTTAGGATGAAAATTTTTCATAGTTGTTATAAAATTCACTATTGCATTCATTTACAAGTTTTCGGTTACGATAAGACAGCTACTTCCATTTCCGCTACCAAACAGTCTTCTCTAATATACCGATTTTAAATCATAACTTTTAAAAATTTTCAATTTTCTTACGCTAAAATTTATTAACAATATTTTTCAACTCCAAAAAGACCCATTAAATAAAATTCATCATAAATTAATTTAAAAAAAAAAAAAAAATTACATTTGTTATTTTTGAAACAACCGTTAATGTACGCACGTGCGGAGTATTAATTTTCTCGTCACTACAAGAATTATTTAAAAATTTGTGACTTCATAATTTTTTAAGTTTTACATATTTTATTTGCATAGTTGCGAAAAATTTTTCAAAGATAATTATTTAAGTAAAATATATTAACTCCGGATGTTAGTGTGGATGATAATTAGAGTAACATACGCACATACAAATACACACACACATTCAAAAGCATGAGTAAGAGAAATGAATTGAAGATAAAAACAGTAGTAAAAATAAAAAAATAAAAAAAAACATGCTATACACTTATGGCGGGAAGCTGTCGTCAATATTTTATTATATACATTAATGTAACAGTGATGACGAATGCTAGTGACGATGGGTTCAATGAATTTATCTCTTAATAAATACAAATGAAAACTACAAAAAATAATAACAATGCTCTGTGCAAAAAAATTATTTTTAATTAATAAAAAATAAATTACCTTGCAAACCATCTGTGAAACAAAAAATTTCAATAAGAATCCACAGGCACAGATAAATAAACTTGTAAACCCACATTTTAAACTCTTGACGTAAACTCGCGTCAAATAATAAAAAATTAAGAATTTAGGTTTTAATTAATCCGTGAAACATGTTGAGGATGTGAGGGGATTTAAGTGAGGGTTAAAAAATAAAATAAAATAGGCGAGAAGCGTTCGGTTCAACGCGTCTCGATCGACTGAGCAGTCGGAGCTTTTTGTATTCCGGAGGCAAGGAGAATAAGCTTTGATGAACAGAAGTAAGAAAAAATAGAGAAGCAGGGAGGGGAGACGGAGATAGTGTTGGCAATCACTTGGATAGAGATGGGAAGCTGATGGGTTTAGATGCTGAAGAAGAGTCGAGGATTAGTAAAGAGAAAGAGAATGTTTAAGATGCGGGTGCAACACGTGCTTTGTTGACTTAAAAGGAAATTTATTTACTTTGTTATAAAAAAATACTACGGCAACAGTTGTTATTTGTTCATTTAAATAGTGAGCATTTAAAATTTTTTCTTTGAGTAAATTATAGTGAAGAAAGCTAGTTGATTCAAAAAAAATGTTTATGTCTCAAAGTTTACACGGAAAAAATGTTTTCTGAAAATTATAAAAAAGTCTTTTAAAATTATAGTTTTCTATTTCTGGAAAGATATAACTGTCAAATTTATATTTTTAGAAGTGTATACTGAAAATAAAAATTCTTGACAAGTAGAAATTTTCTTGGCTCAAGAAAATATTAAGGAAGATTGAAAATTTCTTGAATAAAGTCAAAGTTTCTTGAACCAAAAAAATTTCTTGCTCCAAAATAACTTTTTTCTTCCTTAAAATTTTCTTGGCGCATCAAATTTGTTTTTTCTGTGTAATTTTTACATTTAGAAAAATCGTCAATTGTAAATCTAGTACTAAAAAATTTGCAAATTTTATAGTAAAAAAATTAGGAAAACGGTTGACCCTAAACGGCCATCCCTGCAACTTCCCGCTAATTCCATACTTAAACGCTCAAAATTGCACTTATTACGTTGTTGAGCTTTTCGAGCTCAAAAAACTGATAGAAGTTTGATAAAAAACTTTTTTAATTTTCAAACCGCAATAACTTTTGAAAGAATGAACCGATTTTCACGCGGTTGAAGGCATTCAACGCAGTTTTTCAAGCTTTACGAAGAATTTTTAAGTTTAAATTTATCGAACTAGGAATTTTGAAGTAATTCCGAAAAAACACTTTTATCGTTTTTCTTTCGACAACGATAACTTACGAACGAATCAATCGATTTTAACCAGCTTGGCGGTGGTCGACGTGTTTTTTTGATGTTAAGAGCTACTTAGATTTTGAAATCGATCGGTAAAGCCGTTTAAAAGTTATCAAAAAAAAAACCACATTTGAAAAAATTTTTTTTCGTAGTTTTTTTGAAATTTCTCAAAATCTACTAGTTTGAATCGGTCTAAATTGTATTAAAAATCTGTTTGATCAAGCCTTTTTGAATGGAATCAACCGCGATGAAATCGGTCAAGCCATTCAAAAGTTATGAGAGGTTTACATACATCCACATCCACAGGCACATACACACATATACATACATACAGACACCATCGCGGGGATAGTCAGGGAAGCTTACTAGCACCTAAAAACGTCGAGATCTGATGAAAACTCAATTTTCGAAAAACGGGGTAAAACCAATGACTTCCCGATTTTCGAAAATTTTCAATTTTCTGAACGGGAAGTTAACAATGCAATGCATTTATGCAATGCATTCTATTTTTAATGACAGCTCACTTTTTACTACTGTTGCGTGTAGAGAGGATAGGACTTCATTTTGCCCTTTCATCCATGTAGAAAAACTGACGTATTTTTTATTGTTGTAGCAAATAGTAGGTCAGTTGCGATAGATATTCAGAAGCGATCAGACTTATTTTGCATATTTGCTTATTTTGTTATACGTGGTTATAATATTTTCTGACCCTTATAATCGCATAAAATTATAACATAAAATGGTCTCGTAATTTTTACATAACTATTTATGTAGTTGTCACATATAATTATCAAGTTGATTTTTATTATCTGCGCGAGTTGTTAAAAAATATTTATTTAATTGATAATATTGAGTATTAAAGAGATATAAATTGATTTTAAGCAATTTATTCAGTCGTAAATATTTACGTTTTATTTATCTTTTATTTTAATGATTTTTTTCTAAGTGTAATGATTTGAGGTTATCTGGTAATGCATTGAATAATTTTATATCTTGATCATAGAATTAAATACATTTTTTTATTTGTAAAAATTTTTGCTTACAAATATTAAAGATTACATTTACATATAGGTGAACGCTACTTTATTCTTATATAAATAGTATATTACGACCCAAGGCTAGAAAGTTGGATTTCCTGGCGTATGTGATATGATGGCCGAGGCGTAGCCGAGTATTTTTCTTGCTTTCCAGCCGAAAGTACGCAACCCCGGGGAAGGGGTTTTGCAAAACCGAGGCGAAGCCGAGGTTTTGCTGGGGGTGAGGGGGGCGCCGCCCGACTTTTGTAAAGCCGAGGCGAAGCCGAGGTTTTACTGGTCGGGGCGGGTATAATAAAAAAGTAAAAATTAATACATAATAAAAAAATAAGTTATTTTAAAGTTTATTAACAAACGCTCTGATTAAGAGAGATAACTTGCACAGAACTTGTCACAAATATTTAAACTTGATTTCATAACAGAATTAATTTTTTTAAGTTGATTAAAAGTTAGTTTTTAATTAGACGGCTAAGAAAGATTGAAATTTAATTATTAGAAGCTTGTAGAGTACATGGATTGTTTTATAAACATCGCTTTACTAGCTGTCAAAATATAAAAGAAAGCAAGTAAAATCTACAAAACTTTTATATTTTATTTTTTCTAAAATTTTTATATAAATTATTTGTGCAGTATTATTATTAATTAACATTAACAATAATGTTAATCTAGTAAGAAATTATTTTTATTTATTTGACACTTTTTGGTTAGTTTATGTGTTGACATGTTACATACAGACGATGTTGTGACTGTTATATACAATTGAAACTCGCTGTATAGGCCGGCCGCACCACGAAAGTACGAAAGAAAGCGAGGCTCTGTGCTGCCGGCCAGAAAATATGCGTAGCGCGCATGCGTAGAGAGCCGGCCGTAAAAGTTGCTCTTCCTGGAGTAAAGAGCGTCCAGGATGAGCATACTTTCGGCTAGGAGAGCAAGAAATAGTAGATTACATACCTAGGCCAGTAAAATAAGAAAAGTCTCAGACCACATGTAATTGTTGGCCGAGGCGAAGCCGAGGTTGACAAACATGTGGTCTGAGGCTTTACTTTTTACTGGCCAAGGTGTGTATACTATTTTTCTGCTCGACGTAGCCGGAATGTGGCAACTTTGTTTAACGCAGCGGCCAGAAAGTTGCCACTTTCCGGCCGGAGGGCAGAAAAATAATTTTTCTGTAATAATGTTTGAATCATTTGATTTAATAAACAATTCTCCAACTATACACGGGACAAAAATAACTTGAATCAAGAGAAAAATTCTTAAACCAAGGATATCATTTCGAAGAGTTATATAGCCTTCAATTAAGACGAAAAATTTTTGAATTACGTAAAATTTACTTGAGCGAAGAAAAATTTTTCAGTTCAAGAAATTTTCTCGTTAGTTTTTCGAATTTAAAAATTTAATAATGCTGTGAAGCGGGTAAAAAGAGGGAGGAGTTACGGTAATTATAAGTGTTATCGGTAATACGGATTTTGTTTGATGACGTGCCATCTAGTGATTGAATTTTTATTTATTCGAAGAAAATATATTTGTTTTGAGAATTAAATTATATTGAGTTAAATAAAAACTTACACTTTTGAACTGAACATAAACATATTTTGATACAGGCTTTCTTCCTACGAATTTTCTAGAAAATTTTTCGTGAATGAAGTTAATGTTTTCTTTTATGTTTAAGCGCCAGTTCCATCTTTGATACTGAAATTAGAATTTAGAAAATTATCATTATTTGATTTTCAAAAAGTAAATTTTGTTTACCGAAGACTTTTGTCAATTTTCACTGAGTTGCTTTAAAGAAAAAAAAATATAAGTCTTCTCACTTTATTGTACAATCCACAATAATATGAAAACGATTTCAAATCATATTGCCTATATCTTGATGAGAATAACAACTGTTCGTTTATTGTTGTATAAAAGTCTAAAAAAATAAAATAAATAAACATTAACGTTAAGTAGGTTTTTGTAAAAATAAAAACAAAAAGTTAAATAAATAGTTCCGTGAATGGACGCACCTTCTGCAGAACGTGTTCTGAATACTAATGATGAGATTCCTCTAACTGTTGATTCTTGGCACTAGTTCATAAGAAATGCGTCTTATCTTCGGAATGAGTGATAAATGATGAATAAGCAAATGAGAACAAACAATAGTAAAATAATAGTTCACACTGTCGATTTAATAATAACGTTAATTATAATCATAAAATTAGTGATTGATTATGAGAGAATCAATTTGGATATTTGTTGTTCGTATAAGTATTTGATGGAATGTCTTGTACTTCCTGATTGTTAAGTTCAAATGTAAATGCACCGAGGTAATTGAGCATAAAACAATCGTGTCACGTGACATGTGTAATTTAAATATCAAAGAAGAGCGTAGTAAAAAATTGAGAGAATGAATAATTACAAATGAATTCAATTGTCAATTGAAACACGCGCTTATGATTGATAGGCGGTCAATAACGATTATTGACTTTTATTTGAATTTGTAATTTTTATTGCTGAAATAAATGCGTTTTTCAAAGAAGTTGTAGTACCTATATACAAATTTTGAAGATGACATGAATAGATAGTTTTATCGAAACACAAAATTAAGAAATTTTAATACTCTTGCATGTTGTACTTGATAAATTTTTTTTGAATTAAAAAAGTGGTTTATATAATTCATTGATACATAGGGACATTCCACGCCCAATTGGAAACTTTTTTTTTATTTTCTCAATTTTTTGACATTTTTTAATACTCATTAAAAGACTCTTTCTAGTAAGGAAAATGTTGTCTGACTACTCGCTTGAAAGATATCGAATTCTTAGAAAAATCGCACTTTTTCTAGTTTTTTGTCTGTAATTTGTCCAAAAATTGTCTTAAAACAACTTTTTTTTTTCAAAATTTTTGTTTTGCATGCCTTAAGCGCGATCGCGCGAAGGCATAACTCTACTGGGGCCTAAAAATCAAGTTTCCTTTGTTGTCAAGAGAAATTGTATTTTTAATCCATAATCTGCGGAAAAATGTTTTAAAAAATACACTGGTAGCATGAAGAATGATTACTGAACTAATTAAAAACACTACTTATAGTAAATTAATTATCAATTTTAGTGAAGAAACCCGTTTTTTAAAACTTATCGTGGAAATAACTGTCAAAATATGGTGGTGTGGTCAAAATAACTAAAGATATCTATACAATTTTAGGAATCATTTTTTTTTTTTTTTTCAGCCCTACACGGAAAAAAGTAAACTGTAATAAATAACGGTCGATTTATAATAATTGATGATCAACTGCTAAAAATTACCATTTCAAACAGTAAAATCGTGATTTTACTATTCACTTTATAATATTTACCATTTAAACGTTACAATTTACTCTTTACATGGAAGAAAATACTATTTCAAAC